AAAAAAAAAAAAAATAAGAGAACATAATACGTCATATCAATTAGTTTTTTTTTTTGTTACCACAATTTGTGATTGTAGATTGACATATTATAAAATATATTAAAATATAAATTGTGTTAAACTTAATTCAACTCAATAATATAATGTTATTTCATTAGACAGTATCATATAATATTTACTGAATGATTAATTTTAATCAATTAATTTAGAAAATATATATTTTATTTACTTACACGTGTTACTGGCTAAATTAAAGTAAAATGGTATGATTTATGCCATTTGAAATTATTTACATTTTTGTTTTTTTATAAAGCTCGACATCTACAATCCACAAAGATAATTTTAATTTGTTTTATAGACAAAATACCGTGTAATTTTATTTTATATTTATAAAACAAATTAAAATTAAGGTAGAATCAAAAGAAAAAAATTACCTTCAATCTAAATTTTTAAATGTTTATTTTCAGTCTTAATTATTCAAATGGAAGTATAGCTATTTTGATAAATATTTTGTTGTCTTCTATAACACCACTTCTCATGATATTTAAATCAAAGCAAACATTGAATATGTCTGTTAATGCCCTTGTAAATTGTAAAGCCGAGTTTAAATCATTAAATTAAAAAACGTTATTTTTTATAATTCATCAAATATGCGACAATCATTACACCACCACTAATAGCTATAACACCAATTCCTAAATTTCTCAATGGATAAAACCAGGACCTTTTGATTTGTTCCCATTTTTCTTGCTCTTTTTGTTTTCTCTTCATTATTTTTAATTTGTCTGCCATAATTTTTGTTTTTTCTGCCTCTCCTTCAACTTTGTTCTTATTGCGCTCGTCTTTGGTATTGGTTGTCTCAATACAACTAAAAAAAAAACAAAACAAATATAATATAATATTAAATTCATTATTTTAAATATTATTAAAAACATTATTAATATCTATCATACTCATTAGGTTTAGATAAATCGAGATCTCTTGGAGGTGGTAACGGTGGTGGGGTTGATTCATTTTCATCACTATCAGATTCTGAAACTAATGATTCTTCATCATCATAATCATCTTCATCTTGCTGCCTTAATGATTCCATACGAGGAGGCGGTAAAGGGGGTGACTCACTGCTTAGTTCGCTATCACTACTTTCACAATCTGATTCACTTATATTATTTAATAATGAGCCATCTAGACTAGGTAGATTATCCTAAAACAAACAGTTAAAAATTAAACATTATTATAAACATATTATTAACAGATTAAAAGCTAATCATTACAGACTTGTTGGGAGGGAGTATTTCAGGCACTTCTAAGAAATAGTAGACCCAAAAAATCTTAATTTAGTATATAAAATGTTTAAATACTAGCATTAATATGTTAACATACAAATTAAATTTTGTTAAAAAAAAAAAAAAAACCATTACCTAATATATTAAAATAAAAATTCTTATGGCTACTTGGTGTCATTATACCAAGAGTATCTTCTATCATGTAGTATTGTTCTATAATTATGTTTTCTTTTACTCATGATTAGGAACTATAATTTTATTATAAAATATGCTAATTATTATTGTATTAAGTACCCACTCTAATTTGGAACCTGATTTTTTTTATATATTTAATATTTAATTTCATGTAAATATTTTTTTTTTCAAACTCATACATTTTTAAAATAGTATATGAATTACATAGATTTTATATATTCTTAATGAATAATTTTAAAATGTAAACAGAAGAAATGATTTAAATTTGTATCGTATCAAAGAACTTTGAGGATAACCAAGAAAAATTATGTTAATAATAAATGTATACATTTCTGGGATCTATTCAGTAAAACAAATATTTAAAAACGCATAATAAAATAAATTAAAATATAAAACGTAAACATTTTAATTGTAAATTTAATGTTCCACCTTCCACYCAAAAAAAAAATATYGACCTACTCGTAATATTTTTTTAAATATTTATTTTATATTCTAAGATATGCATCTTAGAAAAAATAACAAAGAAGTATATTTGGTACCAGACACCAGTTCAATTGCTTATCAATTGAGTTGCTTATAGAACTAGTTAATATAATTTGCCTGTAATTTTTTTTTCTTCAAATGTTTAATAAATAAAAACCATGGTTGTTGACAGCATATTTTACAGCTGGCCATTCAATCTCTACAAATCAATAACTGTTAAGTATCTAAGTATTATGTATTCACTTTACTACATCATAATAAAAGAAACAAAGAACATTTTATGAAAAAAAATAAAGCTTAAGAAATAATTTAAAAATRAATAAACTAAAAATACGAATAACTATAAACTTTCAAATAAATAACATAAAATAATTTTTTTTTCTAATAATAATTTAATTTACCTCATTATTGGCTTCCCAATCTGTATCAAGGGCTTCAATAACACTTTGGTAAACAAATCGTAATTGTTCTGGAGCCTGAACAAGTCCTAAACGACATTTTCTCATTTCTGCTAGTAATGAACGTATATGAACATAGTTTAAGCCTTCTGGTGTATTCATCTATATTAAATTATAATTGTATATATGTTTTTCATTTATATTTAATCATTTTTATTCACTTTTATAAGGCAGGTATCTATTAAACAAAACGTTCCCGAACGTCCTATTCCTGCAGAACAATGAACGACAATTGGTCCTTGAGATGGATCAAGACTACCACTACGTCTAACATCTCTGAGAAAACGTAAAAAAGGCGTAGGAGTTTTGGGTACTCCAAAATCTGGCCAATCAGTATAATGGAAATGATAAATCTCACGAGATTCTCCTGAATCTAAGTCATTAAGTCTAAGAAAAAAATCAATGTAATATTTTTAAACAAACAAGAACTGGTTGATTCTTACTTTAAAACGCTTAGTGCATAAAATCCATGGTTGATTTTAGAGACAAACTCTACAGATAGACCAACATCATTCCATACAAATTTATCATTATCTTTTTTTTTCTTTGGCCAATATTGATGACATTTAAGCTTAAGGAAATAAATAAGGTTAATAATTACAATTAAATAAATAATTGGAATAAATTTTAAATATTATACTTTTTTCTTTTCGATAACTTTGTTCAACATTACGATAGCTTTAGTACTTTGTTCCCATACCATGAGCCAAAAATGGGAAGTGCTGTTTTCTAAGGGTCCTTGAGTTAGTATATACTGCCTTTCACAATTACATACCTATGTAAACAAAATATAAAAACATATTTTTGTATAAATAGATGATTCGTTAACATAATCATGCATTTCTTCAATTTTTGATTTTTGGAGTTTTAAAGGATAAATAGGATAATAATAAACCATAATTTCTTAAATTGAACCAAATGCTGATATTAATAAGCCGTATTAAAAGATTACAGAAGAAACTAAGTATGCGTGCAAACTTAATACAGAACTAGTAGGAACACTAGGAACTGGATGGGAAATCTGCACTATTTCCTAAAATAAAGCAAACGATTATGGCAAATGAACTAATTTAATTTTAACATTGTAGTGTGAAAGAATGATAAAAAAAGAGACTGGGCTCAACAGTATTAGATAAGGAGCTGATAAACGATCCCACACAAAGATTCAAAAAGTTAGGAAATCCAACATCAGAAAWGGACATTTATAAATTAAATAAGAATCAAACTTGTGATTATTTGATAAATAGTAGAAAATTAAATGGATTGCATTAATGATAGACATACCTTAAGGCATAAGGCACATTATAGACGAATGACCAAGTAGAAAGTTTGCAYTGAGTATCTAATATAAATTGTATAAATAAAGTTACAACGGAGGCCATACAGTGGATAATATTGCTATTAAATTATTAAMTAGAAAGAAAGATATTTTAATTCGTCTCTTTCAAATGTTAAACATAGAAAACAATTTTACATGAATTTTTTAACATGGGGCGTATAATTATCAAATAAAATAAAATAAAACAATTAGCAAATTTTTGAAATTTTTGCTTTAAAAGCTTTAAAATATTGTAACCAAGTATTTTCGATATGTTTTAAGTGGTATAACAACAATTTATGAGGAACCTAGCATTATTTAAACCTATTTTATTTAGCAATTTTCAAGCTCTATTATTAAAAAAAATGTTAAATACTTATAAATAGCCTCAAAGTTAATAATCAAAACTTTTTAATGCTCTAAAAGGTGATGATAGTTACAAAAAAAATTACAAATCATTGTAAAATAATATATTAATTGCACTACTTGGATCATAAGCGTGCGYAGGATTCTTGGCAGGGGAGGCAATACCTTAGCTAAGGAGGTCCAGACTCCAATCCCCCCCCCCGATTTTCCCCAATTGGTAGGTATTAAATTATATTTTGGTGAAGAGGAAAATCTCGCAAGCGAGGCAGCCGCCTCCCCTGCCTCACCCGTGCGCACGCTTATGATTTGGATCTATAATAAGATAACATTGTGATTGGGAGATGATTAGCAATTTTAGTATTTGAAAATGTGGTATTTAAGTATATTTATAAGGTAATACGTTTTAAATCAGAATTTGAATAAATGCTTTGTAAATGTATTTAAGAGGTATCAAGAATATTGATCATGYTTGGTAGATTACTTTCTATATTTATTTTCAATAAGTGCAAATATTCTGTTCGTAATGGCATAAACTAGAAGATTAGTCTCACCTTAACAAAGTATAAAATTTACAGAATTTTAGATACTACAATGCAATTATTTTCAAATAATAATTAAGTAATACTTAACTTTAAATTATATTATATAAATCTTATTCTTACTTGTACAAGATTAGCATTTATGTAAGATACATTTCCTCTTTTTAGAATGATTCTAGTTTCATCATAAGGAGAGACATCTTGATACCTATTTAGAGCCTTGTTCTGTGGTTTCTTTGCTTCATCAGATGTTTTTTTAATTTTTGAACTTTCTACTTCAACAAACTGAAAAATTTGTAAATAAAAGAATTTTTTAGTTATTAAATCCAAAGTAAATTTGATACTTCAAAAGATAGTTAATTATTTTAAATTTGCATAATAATAATAATAAAACATTACCTAGGAATACTCTCACCTCTAGACATATTAATAATTCATTTATTTTATCACTTATTAATGGCACAGTTGATGCTTCCAAACTAGCCATTTCAATACTGAACCTTGTTCCTACCAACCCAAGAAGCAATCACTCACCTTTTAAAATCCACTGCATTCCAATAATCATCTTATACAACAAGTACTCTGCCAGTTCAACAAATTAGTTAAGTTTTTTGGCCACTCTCTAACTTTTATTTGTCTTTTTAAGATTGTTAACCATAAAATCTGTAATTTATTTTTATTTTATTTTATTATTGACAGGCGGAAATCCATTTAAGGTGAAAGTGCAATAATAATGGTATTTACAATTAATAATAATTTACCAGAATATACTGAATATAATATGGATACAGAATAAGAAGAAAAATAATTGTAATTTGGTGAAAACAACAAACTCAATTAAAGTCGGCGAAAGGGGTGTATTGATTGGTCTATCTCATACATCGAGTGATAGGTTTATTATAAATGTAATCAGTGGTGCATAAAGGTACYGCAAATAAAGCCATGTTACAGATGTGCAGTGTAGAAATTGTAAAGCTAATATGTTGAAGGAGAAGAGGAGAATCAACTTTACCACATATGATATTCCGAAGTAAGGTAAGATTATGAACATTACGACGATCGGCTAGAGATATTAGGTTCAAGTTTTGGAGTACCTGGGCATAGTCATGACCAAGAAGTGGATTGACAATATTTAAGTTGAAGCTCGTGAAGCTGAGAAACTTGCGCTAGACACTCTTGACTTGTTGGCAGTGTACTATKAAGTGAGGGTAAATAAAAAATATATACAATAGGTAAGGCAATACAAAATTTATTCTTTCTTGATTTTGCTTTGGCAAACATATCGATTTAATCTACAAAGTCAACTTCTCGAGTTGTTTCTTRTTCGATTGAAATTAACACCAGGCCACTTAAGCGATCTTGCATCACTGTATTTCTTAAATATCCTTTAATAATTTTTAGTTTGGAAAATGACCGTTCCGCGCTTGCAGATGTAACAGGAATTGTCAAAAATAATAAAAGAGCAGTWCATACTTCTGGGAAATTGACTGTTAAAGAATGATTTTTCACCATTAAAAGTTGAGCAAGATCTCTAGTTGAATTAAGTTGACTTATTTGATTTTTAAGAGTTGATCTTACAACTAAAATTTCACTTGTAAATGTTTTTGATATATCTTTATCATATKTGTTTACCAACTTCGTAGCTTCATTTAAAAGCTCTAAATCTGTTGCTAATGTAAGAAAAGATGGTTGTAAACATTTGAAATTTAGCATTAATTCATGAAAACTCGAAAAACGTTTAGTTATTTGATTTATTAATATAACCAACGTTGTATTAAAAATAGTTACACGAAATAAGCTTTCTGGACMAGTTAAAYGYATATCAGTACAYAGTTCATCGAAATATCTTTTTACAACTTTACGRCGTTTGTTTTSAAACTCTGTAGAGATAGACCAMCTTTTAGCAACTATWTTTGCTTCTTCCAAGAGATCATTAAAATTACATCTAAATTCTTTTAATTGTTGATAACAGTTTTTTAATAAATTGGATCAGTGGCGGCGTGACAAGGGTTCTATGAGACTCGGGTCTCATGACTTTTTRGGTGGGTGGGTGGTCGTAGGTTGATGTCGTGTTGGTACACATTATACCTACGGACGGGTAGGTTTTCTGGGGTGGGTGGTCCCTAAGACTGTTTTGGTCTCATGAACGAACAATGTTCACGCCGCCACTGAATTGGATGCATTATCTAAATCAACTGACTTTGGAGAATTTTAGAAGTTAGGTTTATAATTTGTAAAATCTAAATTGTAATCTAGTATCTAAATATAAAATATAAATGTTACGCTTGGTTTCAAAGACAAGCGATTGCGATACGCTTCGTTGTTATTTCCGTTCTACAAATAACAATATCATTATGTGTATAATAATATGAATATCGACAATGTTGAAGGACTGGTAAATAAAAAATGTATAAATATAATCGTGATCAGTTATTAAATTTATTTTATTTTACAAGAATATACATATATTTTTAAAGAGAATCGTATTTATWAATTTCGCTATAATGGTGATTTTGTTTTTAATGTACTATATATTTTTTCGATGTGCCCTCTAGAGTAATGGGCCCGTGGCTCATTGCCCGTCATGCTACCCTATCGTTACGCCACTGAGAGCGACGTATAGAGAAGGACATAGATTTATCAATGTTAAGAGATAATCCGATATCTTCACCCCACTTAACAAAACTGCAAAGAAAATTTTTTACAATAACAATAAAACACAGAATTTGGCGACGGACGCTTGAAACACTAATAATAAATAATAAGGATACGATTGGAGATTGTTGCTATACATATACGAGATTTGAAGCCTAAGAGCTTGATCCATTAAACTTTTTTAGTAGATAGGAATGTATTCACTTCAGCAAAGGGTAGCCAAACTCAAGCACGTCAGTACGGATACAAGTKCTTCATGGTTGAATGAGTCAAATGCCTTAGCAAAATCAGTATAAATGACGTCAACTTGAAATTAACATTTGAAGGAATCGTAAACGTAAATACAGAAAGTAAACGTTAAGTTTCAGTTGACCGCTCCGGATGGAAACCGTGTTGCTCGTCTATGCTGATAGAGATAATCTTTCGGAATACCGCCAATGCCAACTGAAGTTACTCCTCGCAGGGAGTGTAACTTTTAAAGCACGTCATCAACAGAAAAATACGCGTTGTTTGAGAGATCGAAGAAAGGAATTTTGTATCCATGATACAGTGAGCAGATGAGTAAATTGAGCTAAAATGAGATGCAAAAATCTAAAATTTCTTGTTTGTAAGCACTGGAGTAGTTGTTAAACGAAACTGTATTAAGAATTTCGTTGTTAAAACGGTTTTTACGGACAGTCTCAGAACTTATTAGGACAGCTAGAGAGGACTCAGTTCGTTCAATAAAAAGCCAATAGAATTTCCAAAATACCCGTTTCGAAAGATTGATAGTCATGCAGATCATATGAGGATTTAAATACAGTATGCGCTTTATTTTTAGTAGAACAAGTTGTTGTAGTTGTCTAAAGGCTCGAGCAAAAAATGTAAACCAGTAAAATTAACTTTTGGAACATACTGAAGAATTGAGTGGATAGCGTCGAGGAAAGTATTTGTAGTGGAGTTAACATCATATTCAGAGAAAGTAGCGGCCCAATCATAAGCAGATATCAATTTAATGATACTGGAATAGTAAAATTTGTGAAAATTGAAAAACGAATGTGAATTATCAAAGAGCGATTAATTTTTATTGCCAAAGCATTTAAGAAGTACATGAGTGGTGGGGGAGAGATCAGGGGAATGAGAGAATCAACGGATGCTTCAACAGAAATAAGATCGGGATTGCAGAATACGAAATGGACATCCATGGCTGTTTAATATAACTTTTTTTGGTAGAATCCAAAATAGGCAAATGATTTAGGAACACAAGATGTAGGTAAGATTGTAAGAATGGTAGAATAGTATTACATGAGTAGGAGAGACCAATATTGTCATTAGACCAAGTGATATTTGGTAGTTGAAGTCACTATAAAAAGTATAAGTGTGATTAGGATATCACTGAAGAACTGAGTCGACTGATGATATATCATTCATAACAATGATGTGGACATTTTGGAAGAAAGTAGAAACCTCTGATAAGGTATTTGGAAAATTGTATTAATAATTAAACATTAATATTAGGGGCAGAAGTTCACGCAGGGGTTATACATTCTTAAACACCAACCAAAACACCACCCCCAATATTACAATCAGTATTACTTGAATACCTATTAAATGGGGGACGAGGCGGCCGAGTGGTCTAACGCGTCGGCTGTTGGCTCAGCCGGACCGGGTTCGATCCTCGACCATCGGACGGCATTTTTCTCCGGGCAAGTCATGGTGTCCGGAGAACAAGTGCCGCCATCCCCACTCCGGGGCATGGCAGAAACCTACGGGTGCCCTAATAGAAATTCTGCCAAACAGGCGTCCGAACTAGGCCTTCGGGCCTCCTCCCGGACATAGCGCCATACGAAAAAAAAATCTATTAAATCTAAAAATACCATAATTAAATAGACCAAGCTCGTTGTCATGAATATCTTTATTCAACCAAAAGTATAATTTAAGCTATATGCATTATAGTTTAAAGCAAAAACTATGACTATGACTGTCAAATGCTATACAGTTTGAAAATAAAAACAAAATAAAATATAACATGGTTAAATAGACTAATAAGTAATTACTCCTAGGGACTTAAATAAATATCCTTGATTAATATTTTTCAGGGWAAAAATGTTAATATCCTCAGTTTTTATATGAGGACTAACATTTTAAGATGTAATTGTAATTTATTGTATAAACCAGGGATGGGCAACTGGCGGTCCGCGGGCCGCATACGGCCCTCGTACTTTTTTATCTGACCCATGCTACGTATACATTTTCAAATTACTTCATATAAAACCTCATCCTCAATATCACATTAAATAATAATTGTAAATATAAATAAAGATAAAAAATAAATGTTAGTAAATTTGAAGGACCTTTTTTTTTTGCTTTCTCCTATGCACTCTGTGGTTCGTTAAATTTTAAAGTACTTAAAAGTGGCCCGCTAGTTACTTTGAGTTGCCCATCCCTGGTATAAACTATAAGAGATAGTATATAAATATTTACAAAAAAATTAAAATAACTCTTTTCATGTATTTAAGTTGTCTTAGTAATTAAAATCATCTATTACAAAAATTATAGTTCATATCATATTATTGAGGCAATCACATATTGATTTGTCTAAATATTGTCATACAACAATTTTAAATTCATTTAAATTTAGAAACATTTTAGATTCTGAACAGAGCAATGAATGTATTTTATTTTGAAAGCTATACACAAAGTCTACGTAAAATAAAATATAAATTCAATATGTTAAATCGGAACTCGTGTCATATGCCATCTATCTGTACTTTGATCAGGTCATATATTATCTACCTTTCTGGTGATATCTACTTTTGTACGGAGACTGATATTGCAGATAATATAACCGTATAATTATAAACATCTATAAGACACTTTACACATATCATAGATAGCAGATAGTAGATACATGACTTTGGGGTTGGCTTGTAAAATTGGTGTGTGTTTAAATTATTTTTTGTTAAACTAAAATGGAACATTTTATTGATATGTTATTAACAATGACGAAACTTGCACCAATTTTTTTAAACAACATGGTGTTTTGCCAACTGCTTAAGTATGCCAAAAATAAATTCAAATAATGAAGTATGTGGAGGGTCTTTAAAGAATATATCAAGAAGTCTTGTAAATATGATGAAGAAAGTAAAGTTATTATAGAAAAGTGTTTATGTTGTCAGAAGAAAGGATGCCAAATATTTCAGTCCATCAGAAAATAAAATGAATTCCTTACTTATGTTGACGTAAATGGAAAAAATGTCAATGTAAAAAATGATACAAAAACACGTAGTGCCACCAACTTATTGAAATGGCAGTTGATGGAAGAGTGGTGGCATTCACTCAATGCATCCAAGAACCTTTTTGACCAGTTTTATGAAGATATGAAAAAGTTCTGTAATGTAATAATGCCCAGATGCTCAGACGACATCTATATTTTTTTAATTTCAGTCCAAATTCTATCGATTTTTTTCAATAGTTTTGTAAGAAAAAAAATTTATTAGATTTATTTCTGTAATTAATTTTACTACTGTATTAAGTTTTTCGTATTTTGAGTATTTCCTCCGATTGTTATTTTTCTATATTTCTGTGTTTTTTGTWTTATTAGAATATTAAGTATCTTAGTTATTCATTAATTTATTTTTTCAAATGTTTTACCATACCTATATGTACTAAATTACAATATTTATGTAATTGGGTTATTACCCGTAAATAAATAAATAATAATAATTATAATCTACAGATTGCGGGGTGGAAAATTGTAGATAACATACAACGCCAACAAACAATTATGGTAGATAGCATATGACGCGCGTTCTGTTATATCCTCAAAATATTATCCTTCATAATCTTTGTAGTAGGGAATTTTACTCTAAGATCAGTAGATCACTCAAAATCATAAAAAATTTGTTTTGCATTCATGTGTTTTGACTGTGTTACATGAATCCTAGAGTGAAAACAATTAATATTGTGATTACATCCACTAAACTTATTATGTCTATTATTTTTTTTTTAATAATAAATATCTTTCTATCTATCCAGTATCCTTCTATATTGCCATAATGTTGTGTAGTTAAAAAGGTTTGTGTATAACGGTTTTTAATTAAGTTCAAAATGTACTACTAACATTTTTTGTTTGTTTTGCATGGTAAGTACTACCCATTAACTATAATGTTATTAATGTATAGATATATATATATATATCATTGAATAAAATACATACTAATATTTATTCCAACTTAATTTATCAGATTAAACAATTCAATTCATAGGTAATTTTAATTAATTAATAGAATACAATTCAAACACAATGAGAAATTATATTATTTACAGTATAAACTTACTAAATCTACAACCATTAAATTTACTTACTCTGAATGTGATGTTCCACATATTCTTCGATTCAATATCGTTAAATTCATCTCGTAATCTTTTTTTCACTTGTTGATTGGTTTGCATATTGATTTTTYGAATCTTTAAATACCTAAAATGCAAAATTTTTGTTTTCTGAATTTTCTTAAGTTTCAAGCAAACAATAAGTATATACCTGTTTGGAAATCACAGTGGGATCAACACGAAATGTTTGATACTTAAACACAAAATATACAAATTTATATAACAAATAAAAATATATATTATTTAAATAAAACAATTTAAAAATCGAACACAAATTTACTAAAAAGTAAATTGCAGTTTAAAGCTAAAACTGCAATCAATATAATATAGTTAAGTGTTCATTTTTTATCACGAAATTTTCTGCAATTAATTAAATTCATGATTGTTATCATCAGTGTGAACCACCACGTAGGACGAAATAACCAACTGAACCAACATGGAATATTCACTGATGTTTTTTCTATTGGACCACAGAATAATAGTTTTTCCGTGATTGGAGAATCCGACTCTGATATTCAATATTCTGGCTGTTATCTACGACCACACAACAACCGTGGTTCAACTACAGAATTTCATCTACTTTGTGGTTGCGCATATATATTTTATTCTAAAACGGAAAAATAAACATAAAGCCGATAAGATATGGCCCTCCGTTATCTGTAATTTTTACATTATTATTATTACATACGGACATACGGTATCTATATTATTCTAGTATCTAACGACGTAATAATAATAGTAATATTTCGTKAGTTGATGTTAATTTATTCAATTGCAAAATCCATTCATTTTCGCAACACCGGATCCGATTCTTCGTTAGACTTCGGGTGCCCTGTTTGAGTAAGTGTGATCGYCGGACTTAATCCAGTTTGACATTGCTCGGCCGTCGGCGTATAACGTCTATGATATGTGTTGTATAAATTGTCAATGACCCAATAATTAATACACAATAGTGTCCTAGAGACATCTATACACGTTTCTCTCCCGTGTCCTCGAAATTACAATAATTGCCATTTTATTCTCTAAACAATTATTTTGATTTCGCAACAGTTTTTTAAGGTTTTTTACCACTGCAACATTGGTGTTTCATTCTTACTGTATCATTTAGTAATTTATTGTTAACATTGGGTTTTCAGAATTACTCGAGTGCGTGTGTCGCGTTGTATGGCTCGTAAAAATAAAGAAAATAAAAACATGGCTCTATCAACCATGCTACGAGATGAAGGCGATAGCAGTGAAGACGACTATCGGCGCAAACGAGACAAGAACAATCAGGTATTTTTAAACTCCATTTTATTTCTCTGTGTATCTCATATTTATGAATTTTTWTAATTTCTCAGGCTGTTAAAAGAAGTCGAGTTAAAAGTAGAATGCGTACACAGCAAACATTGCAACGTGTGAATCAATTAAAAACTGAGAATGATATGCTAGAAGAAAAAATTAAACTTTTAAGTAAAGAACTAGGATTTTTAAAAGAATTATTCATGGCACAAGCTGGTAAGGTTTATTAACAATCTTTTATAACATAGGTTAGGTAAGACTTAAATTGAATTTTGTTTCATTTTTTCTTAGGAACATCACAAATTGAACTCCCCAAATCTGTTGACCTTAAGACATTATTGAGCGACACTACTTCAGACATATTGGATAATGATTTAACAAAACCTCAATCTTCATCATAAGTATAATATAATTTGTTTAATTTTATGGGCACAGCATATTTTATAAGTAAAAAAAATGTTATGAGTCATATTGATTTAATAATTTTTGTCCCATACACAAGAAAATATTTATTTGTTAATATTGATTAAGTTATGAATTTTTAATAGCTTAAATCGTTTTTTTAACGGTTTCATTATTGTTTGTCCAATTGTGTGTATGTGTGCAATATTTATATTTATTTTTCAAGCAACTATACAATTTGAAAAAAGTTTAATGAATGTTTAATATGTGTAATCATTATGAGTTTTGATTTCAACATAAGGTAGCCTGCGGTGACAAATGTCAGTTATTAGTTTATATAACAACATTATTAAGTGAGTTTTTGTAATGTTGTTTAGTAATTCCCTGTTGTTCTTATATTATCCTTATAAGTAAACTAATTTCTTGGTCCTTTAACATATTTTGACAGTTTCTCAAAAAAGTAGTAGTTCAGTTTTACTTTTATAATAACTACTTAATTGTTTTAATAAAAGGTCGGCTCAACAACTTATCATCACTATCATTCAAGAATATTAATGATTATGATGCAAGAGCAAGACYCAATATGGCAATACTAACATATCAATATGAAAAATTAAATATTTTTTTATTGTACAGCTGTGCATTTGATTCTTTAGTCTATCCAGTGCTCGAGTGAATATATTTTTTAATGCTTGTGTCATAGGTCAATTTTATCAATCGGCTTATAATAATAATTTACGTTTTATTTACTAAACAGAAAGAGATAGTAACCTTAGAGCCTATTACAGTGAAGCAATATTTTCCTAAAAATAATGAACTAATAGTTATATTTAATTGCTTAATTACAATTATTGCAACATAAATATTTACGGTTAAACTATATTACAAAAACCATAGCATTAATATCAACACTTACAATAATGTAATATTTTTAAAAATGTTTTTCATTATGCAACTAAGAGGACAGTGAACTGATATCAGTTATTTGTTTGCATATTGCGTTGAAAGAAAAAAAAGGTTCTACATGTTATTTAAAATATTGGATGTGTAAATATGTTGATTATTGACCTATTGTGAAATTTAAAGTGGAGTATGTTATCTCGTTGATAAAACTAAAGTTTAAAATTATATATTAATAAATTAATAATAACTTTAAGTTATGATAAAAGACATTTATAATGTATGATAATTAATTAGTTAGTATACATTATACAATAACAATTATTGGTCAATAATTCAATGTTAACATAGGACTCAATATTTTTAGTAAACTATAAATTGTTTTGTTGATTGATGACATATTTTTAATTATTACCAAGAAATTATTATAGATGTGTGATTACACTTAAATTACTAAAAATGTGTATCTCGTGATGGCATTGATATGACCTTATAAAAAGTTACATAATAAATATTAGGTATGTTTTCTTCATACATGAGGGCATTATTGAAAAAGAGGTGATTTGTGTAAACTTTATTTTACTACTGACAGTATTTTAAATAATATGACATTTAAAGACATTATAAAATACTATTTGTATATTACACATTACATTTAAACTGAATATAATTAATTATAAACTAGTTATTTTCAAAATATGTGAGTATGATAAAATTTTATATTTTGCATAAATTACACACTTTTACCATAATTAAAGAGTTCATTAAATATATCTTGAAAAATAACAATTTCTCTTTAACTATAAAGTATTGATATTGCATAGTATATGAACTGTTTAATGTTAATAATCTTGAAATACTGCATAGAATTCATTTATTTTTATCATTATATGAATATGAACATCTTATGAATAAATCAATGCATATTATGTTAAATACTAGATAAAAGAAAAAAGCTATATTATCTGCCTGTACTTATGCAATAAATTATTTGAAGATTCCCCAATTTCGGTATTAATTTATTGTGCTATAAAAATATTAATACCTTTTGATTCTTATTTCTTTTTCTACATTAAATAAATTATATAMATATATCAAATAATAGATGAATATATTGTTTCTTTTTGAATCAATATAATTTTTTTTTATTTATTTACCTTATTGCCATATTGTTAAGACTATTTAAAACAATTTTACCTAGAAAWTGTGCCTGGACATATTTTATGAATAAAATGTTTAATGTATTTAAAATATATTTTTGAAATAAATTGTCTTAAGTTCTTATTCTTGAAAATAAAAATATAAAGGCGGAAAGTGAGTACCACTGTACTGTCGGTACAGTTGTCGAGTATGTCGTTATAATGGATGTGTTATATTTGAATTCAWTGATCAATCATTTTATATGAAAAACCATTCTGAGCGTTATCTTATAGTTTAGGTACTTGTATATAAATAATTGAATTTAATATTTATAGAAAAAAAAAGCGGGTAAGTCGTGGATGTCGCTCTGCTGTACAGTAGATTACTGTAATGGATAGGATTAAATTTG